ATCTTTATTTATCATGCCTCTATTATACATTTGGTATTGTTCTGCAAAAGAGGCGGTAACTTTCAATACACAAATCAATTCTACATGCATGAAACTCGAAGTGATCTTTTGTTCAAATCTACTCACTTATGTTTGTGTAAAAAAAATTCAACTAATATTCTGATAAAACTTTTGCTAATCTCAGTGAACTTGCAATCTAAGTTGTAGACTAAGGCACATCTGATAACTAATTGATCATCTCAGATGAGTTGTACACTATTTATCCTAGAGACTAGAGTATTTTCCTTTGTTATTTTCTTAAGTAATTTAGAGCTCGCATGGCTCATGATTGGTATTTACGATTCATTACTTTGTTTTGTGGACAATGATATGTAGGTAGAGTTTAATATCACACTATGGATTGGAATGTTAATAAGAGATTTTATTACTCCCTCCATTTCAGTTATTTGTTTACTTTTCTTTTTAGTCCGTTTTAAAAAAAATCTCCTTTTTGACAATTTTGTAATATCAATTTTCCACATGATGTGTTTAAGAAACATGACGTATCCAAGATAATTTTTGTCACTTTGATTTGGACCTCCATTCATTTTCTTTAAGTAACAAGATACTAACAAAAAATTCCATTCTTACATCATTTAACAGTGGTAAATAGTATGAACCATGGGGATGGTAATCTCTTTGATGTTTTGAATGGATTTTGCAGTGTCTTACCAGCTTCTTGTACAATCTGTTCTTTGAATATATTAACAGGAACATATTGTTTTAAGTGGGAAAGTCTACCTCAGATAAGCTCGAAACAGAAAGGCTGCTTAATTTACTCTCGAAAGAAAAATGTTGTACAAGTTATTGCATTTCCGATAGCCCCTTCACCCTTAGAAAAGCGTATAGTAGAAATTAGACTGTTGTATTTTGTACTCATTATTCATCTATATATAAAAACTATAAATTTCACATTTTTCTCTATTTCAAGTTGCACAAAGACATTTGATTCAGTCCCTGCTCCGAGGAAGGCAGTTATATTAGGCTACAACCCTATTAGACCTTGGATGTCTTAGTTTGAGAAAATGATCAAAATGGTCTTTCATGTATAAGGGTTGTTTTATGTTGATCCTTAATATATTTCATATGATCCATATGGTCCTTAATGTATATGAAAAGATGATCATTTTAGTTTTTTAACCCTAAAACTAACCAAAAATAAAAACTGTTAGATTTAACAGATTTGCTTTCTTTCACCATCACCACCATAGACCCTTCACCTCAACTTCTTTCTTTTTCCATTTGAGGTCATGGTCTACATCCTCATAATATACACTACACCCATTTCTCATCTCCATCTAAACAAAATTTTCAAAAGTTTTCATTATCCTACATAAAGTAGAATAAGAAAATCAAAACCATTAAAACAAATGTAAACTAAGTAAATCAAATAAAAGACTCAATTTCTCCTTCTAGGAGATCACCATAAATCAATTCTTTTAAAATTGTAACTAGTTATTTTTTCTTGTCGAAGTGATTAATGGGGAGGATATAGCTTTCTTTTGTTTTATCCTTTTCAAAATTACTAATTTTTTCAAGCCATTTTTTTATTCTATTTTAAAATTAAAGGGTAAAAATTGAATGTAGAAAACCAAAATCTTACAAATATTCTTTTGAAATTTGAAGAAATTTTTCGGTGCATGAGGAGATTTTGGCAGCAGAAGTTGTAGAAGAAATGAAAAAAAAAAAAGATGAAGGAGAAGAACTGTGCAAGAAAGATGGAGGAAGAAGGGTCCCACAATTGAGACCCACAGTTAAGTTTAACATTTTTTTATGTTTTTAGTTAATTTTTTGGGCTAAGGACCCAAAATGATCCTCTTTTATAATACATTAAGGACCATATGGATCATGTGAAATATATTAAGGATCAACATAAAGCAATCCTCATATATATATATATGAAGGACCATTTTGATCATTTGCTCTCTATAGTTTACTGGTATGCCATTATAACTAATCGTTTTGCTCTGAAAATAGCCATATTTTATAATTTCTGTGGCTTTTCTTTTTTAACAATTTCTTGATTTGTGTGTCTATTTTGAATCTTGATTTAGGTGGCTCTACGATTTCAATTATAATGAGTACTTTTACAATGATTCATCATATGGCACCCCACATACCCTTCAAAACTTCTGATGATATCTCCATTTTCAATTATCCTTTTCTTTGACATTTTGACCACAGACACCATATAGTTTAACCGTCTGATTAAGAAATGAAAGTATTCCATCGAGGTGCACTTCTGGTCATGGTCATGTATTATGTTAAAGTCCTTTAACCTAGAAGATGAAAATATGAGTGCTTTCCTTTATCTCGATTAATGCCTTAGCTTTCTGGACAATACCATCAATATAAACCTGAAAAGATATCACCCTTGGTTCTCTATTGATTTAGCAAAGATAGTTCATCTGCTCAGTTTGTTTTGATAAAGCACAATAAACCTTGCCAAAATATTCATCTCGCTTATAGCTCACTCAATTGTTGCATCAATAAATTGGATTGTATTTTTATCATATTTGCGTGCTTTGCAGGTTTACTATAGGAACCAAGTTCGAGCTCTCTTTCTCTTATATAAAATAACTGCAATGAATCATATTGTTGCAATATGTTTTGTTGTGCATTATATGCTAAGTTCCTTCCAACTGCTATGAATTCTTCTAAAGTAAGTAGAGTTATTGTCATTCTCTTATCTTGCTTTGTTATATATAATAACATACAACAATAGGCCTTTTCTGATTTTCAGTTATTAATGTTGTTCATCTTCGTTTCACCTTTAAAAGAAAGGTATCAAGGTTGAAATGAATTTCAAAATGACAAGTCAGCAGTTCCCTACTCTGTGTATGTGGGATGGGGCACAGGAAAAGGAAATGTATATGAGACAGAAAATTTTGTGATGTTAGACTTTTATAATTTTAAAATCGGATGCATATCTGAATAAACTATGGTCTTGATGTTAATGGGGATGACAAACAGTCATTAATGTAGTTGATTTTTGAGTGTTTACTTTTTGAGAATGCTGGTGAAACATTCCAAGCAGGAGTCATGTATCTGCAAGAAATTGATGTTGAAGCTAGGAGGTTGAGCATTGTGAAGTGTATAAATTTCATGTTAAAAGGAATTCTGAGAAATCATATTCTTTTGTAATCAAGATTTTAACCTGATAATGTTGGTAGATTATATTTGTACTACACGTTATTGTGCTCTTATTAGTAAATTCCTTATGGAATATTTTCTGTATAATCATTTGTGTAGTATTTATAAAAAAGACAGTACGAGAATCCTAAAATTACTTAGGATTGCCTTTTCCTTACTCTTTTAACAGGCTATGAGGGACAATTTCTTTGTCAACTTCTTCTTTGTAGTGCAAATAATGTAGTTTCTGTGGTTTATTGATTGTTTTGGCATAAAAGGATGATGAGACTGTTAGTGGGCAGATGTTGCTAGCTTTTATTGACCAGTCAAAAAGAGAGAAGTCTTCGTAAAATGTAATCGATCAAGAGATTCTTGAAATTGTAATGTCAAGGTGGGACACCATTCCTGTCTTTGTGGTTGATTTATGAAGTTGAATCATACTACATCCGGTAGATTATGGTGAAAATAGATTCCTTTTATTTCATTGTTATTGTTCTCTTGCAATTGAACAAAAAGTTAGTTCTTCTCTTATCTCTAGATTTAAAAGTTGAAGTAGATGTTATGTCTTCTTGTGAGGATATTGGTTTATTGGACGGAGGATACACAATGACACTATCAACTATTGATTTTGTCAAATAAAATTTGTGACTTAATTTATTGTGATTGATTTGGAAAATTTAAATTAATGATTTGCTTGGCTTTGTATAAATGCATAGTAATACGTACAATAACCATTCACAATATATTTTTACCAAGCTTGACAATGTTTCTATCGACATTATTTAAAATGAATGATAGTGTACCTAGGTGTTTTCCTCAATAAATGAGGAAGCTATGCTTTATAAATTATGACTATTCAGAAGTATTTATTGCTATTTCAGATATCAGTCATATATTTAAGATAGATTTAAACAAATAAAATTATATCATAATTTAAAATGTTGGGCCCGGGCTTAGCATGGGAAAGAATCATCTAGTATATATATATATATATATATATATAATGAACGAACCCCTTCAACATAAGCTAAAGACTTGGTTCAAGATTTAGCCAACTCTTCTTGACTTCGCGAGTTTGAGTCCGGGTAGGTGTTTAAAAAAAGACTCGCTTTTGAAACTTGTGGTTTAAAATAAGTTAAAGAGGTTTGTGTGAGTATAAATCTGTTTTTCTTTTTTATTATTTCTTTGTGTTTTAAATGGCAGTATGGAATCAATTGTTGAACGATACAATAAAACAGAAGGTGAATATCAGCAATTGCACAACCCAATATCACAATTTACAATTGAAGGTACGTAACACTTAATTCCTCAAGTATAGCACCAAGCTATATTGATGAAATCAGCAACACTAGCTGAGAAACTCCATTGATGAAAGCTAAGCTCACATGGAGGAAGCTGAAACTAGAGAGAAGAATAGCATGAAGCTATGTAATTTTGATTGAATAAATCAGTCTTTACAAAATGTTACATATATACAAATTGTAATTGGAACAATCTAGAAGGAACAGTCTAACTAACTTGATTCCCTATTTTGTAACACATCTAACTAACTTCTAACTAATTATAACAAACTAAAATACTTTAATTGCATAATCTCAACAGCACCCCTCAAGTTGGAGGCAAAGTAATCGCAGATAACTTGCTCAAAATCATAGCATGTTTGACTCCAGTTAGTGCCTTAGTGAAGATATCTGCAAGTTGTGAGTTGGTGGAGATGTGCTAAAGTACAACCAGTTCCTGTTGGATCTTATCCCTACAAAATGGCAATCCACTTCTATATGCTTTGTCCTCTCATGGAATACTAGATTTTTGGCAATGTGAACTCGTGCCTAACTATCACAAAACACATGTATAGGCAGGGGACATTCCACTGTCAGTTCAGCAAGTAATCTCTCAAACCATACCAAAACTCGCACCACTTGTCTCACAACTCTATATTCTGCTTCAGCTGATGATAAGGACACGGTGGCCTGTTTCTTGGACTTCCAACTAATGGGACTATCACCCATAAGGACCAGGTACCCATTGATAGATTTTCTAGAGTCAGGGCAAACTGCTCAGTCTGAATCACAATAAGCGCTGACAGTACATTCAGGTGTGTTTAAGATAAAAATTCCTAATGTAGGATCTTGCTTTAAATATCTAAGGACATGATAAGCAGCCTTCAAGTGTGGTTCCCTAGGTGTCTGCATGAATTGACTGAGATGTTGAACACTATAAGCTATATACATCCTAGTGTTTGTGAGGAAATTAAGCTTTCCCACCAGTTTTTTTTATAGTGAGTGGGATCTGACAGTAACTTGCCATTTGTAGCTTTAAGCTTTTCAGTAGACTCAAGAGGTGATGAAGTAACTTTGCAATTCATGAAGTCATGCTCGTTTAGCAAGTTAGTAGTGAATTTCCTTTGGGAAATCAAAACACCATCTTGTCTGTATAGTATTTCTAGTCCCAGAAAATAGTACAGCTTACCAAGGTCTTTTATCTTAAACTGCTCATGCAAAAAGGCCTTCAGTGAAGTAATTTTCTCTAAATCAGTACCTGTCAAGATCACATCATCAACATAGATAGCCACAAATACTAAGGAACACCCCTTCCTTTTATAAAACAGTGAATAGTCACTGTTTGAATGTGTGTATCCCTTGGAACAAAGACTGCTTGCTAGTTTGTCATACCATTGCCTGCTTGTTTGCTTGCTTTAGGCCATAAAGTGACTTTTTAAGTCTACAAACCATGTTGTCACTGTCCACCATCAGGCCTTATGGCAATTCCATGTACACCTCTTCATGCAAATCACCATGTAGAAAGACATTATTTACATCCAACTGGTACATGTCCCATCATCTCTTCACAGCCAAAGAAATCAAGGTTCTATCGGTGGTCATCTTGACTACAGGTGAGAAAGTCTCAGTGTAGTCTATCCCAGCTTGTTGAGTGTATCCCTTGACTACTAATCTAGCCTTGAATCTTTCCACACTCCCATCTGCCTTGTGTTTAATTTTATATACCCACTTGTATCCAATGGGCTTTTTGTCCTTAGGTAATGGAACCAGTTCCCATGTGTCATTTATGTATAAGGCTTCAGGATTGCTTCTTCATAGGAATGAGGTTCACACTCATGTGAGATGGTCTTCACTAATTGTTGGCTATTAGAACACGAGGTAGTAAAGCATACATGGTCATGGTTTGAGATAAAAAGAAGTTAGGGAATGGTGTGGATCAGGAGCATTTGAGACATATGTAGGGGAATGCAATTTGGGCAAAGTGTAATTGTATTTTTCAAGTAGTTAGGGGTGTGAATGGACCTAGTGGTTCTCCTAGGTGCATGTATTGATGGTGCATCAGTGGGGATAGAAATATGAGAATGGGGCAAGGATGAGGACTGGGCAGTGTTGTTGGTGTCTTGGTTAGGAACAGGTTCAGGATGATTATTAGCAATTTCAGGAGATGCATTTGTTTCCAGCAATTCATCATTAGCAAAAATACTTATTTGACTAGGTATAGAAGACAATTTATCATAATGGACAAGCAGCTTTAAGACAAAATCAAAACTAGAACCATTAGGAGCAACAACAAAAGGAAAAATAGCCTCATGAAAAAGAACATCTCTAGATACATAAACTCTTTTGGTAGCTAAGTCTAGTACCTTGTAGCCTTTAGTGTTGAAAGGGTATCCAACAAAGATGTGAGGTGTTGCCCTTGGTTCAAATTTATCTTTGTGAGTTTTCAAAGTGGTGGGGAAACAAAGACATCTAAAACTCCTAAGGTGAGAGTAAGTAGGCTTTCTTTTGTACAACAATTCATATGGTGACTTATTTTTCAGTATTTTTGTAGGTAGTCTGTTAATGATGTAGGTAGCAGTTAGGACACACTCTCCCCAATATCTCATAAGAAGTTGTGATTGATAAAGAAGTGCCCTTGCTGTCTTCAAAAGATATTTATGTTTCCTTTCAACTACACCATTCTGTTGAGAGGTATAAGGACATGATCTTTGGTGTATTATTCCTTTTTCTTGAAAGAAACTGGTTGCCTCACCACTTGTGAATTCTAGACCATTATTAGACCTAATGGTTTTCAACTTGGTTTGAAATTGGTTTTCTATGAGAGATACAAAAGCCTTCACAACCTGTAGTGCATTACTCTTGCACTTGATCAGTTGTGTCCAAGTTGATCTACTATGATCATCTGCCATTGTCAAAAAATAATTGTAGCCATCATGTGTAGGTACATGATAAGGCCCCCATAGATCAATGTGTAATAGCTCAAAAGGTTCTCTAGTGGTGGTAGAGCTTTCCTGGAAAGACATTCTAGCTTATCTTGCCATAGGGCATATAGTACATGTAAAAGGTTGTCTGGCAAAAAAACTTACTGGTATGGTAGAGATACTCTTCATTTTTATAAAAGGAACATGTCCTAGTCTAGCATGACACAAGAGTTATGTTTCATGAGTATGAGATGTAGGTAAAAAAATTAGCAGAAGGAGAAACATGGCTATCAGTAAGACAAGGACAATCAGCAATTAAACAAGCTTCTTTATTGATCTTGTGAGAGTATTTTACAGAAGGAGATGGGGAAATGGAAGCTTGACTGGTACAATGAGAAGGACAACTAGCAACATGGGATGAAACATTACCAACAAGAGATGCATGGCAATTATCGCACCTGAGACATAGGAAGTATATGCCATTTTTGGCTTTACTAATCTCCAGAGGGCTCTTCAGAGAAGGGCCTTGCAGTGAATAAGAAAAGTTGTTAAAACTGATTGTCCATTTAAGTTGTAGGGACAAACAGTGGACATATATTAAATTGAATTTAAAACTAGGTACAAACAGTACATTGCATATGGTTAAAGTTGGATTCAAACAAGCATCTCCAGTTTCAATTACTTTAACTTTGTATCCACTAGGTAAGGTAATCAAGAAAGGGTAAGGTAGTGGTTTAATGTTTTTAAGGATGGTTTTGTTGTAGGTCATGTGATGTGATGCACCAGAATCTATGATCCAAGAACCAGCAGTTAGTTTAGCACACCTACAAGATAGATCACTTATTTCAGTTATAGAAGAGTAGAAAGCAAGTATACCTGCCAAGTTCACAGCTCCACTCATCATATTGTCTGAATTGTCTGAGTTAGAATTCCCATTTCCAATCTGCAGAGTTCCCAAAAGATTTAGTAGTTGTTCATATTGGACTTTAGACAAGTTCAATGGCATTTGTTTCTTTAGTGCAGGATCCTCCTCATTATAGTGCCTATTCATCTCAGAAGCACACACATTTCCTGCTGAACTTGATCCTTTCCCCTTTGGAAACCTTGAGTTGGGTGGGTAGCCATGAAGTTTGTAACACCTGTCATTTGTGTGTCCTGATCTCTTGCAGTAATCACAAAACAAAGAGGACCTGGTAGTGCTAGAACTGCCCTAAACACATTGTTATTATTGAAGTTCCCAGAGTTGTTTCCACTTCCCCTAGTGGAACTGTAGTTAGTCTTAAGATCTTTGAGTACTGCACTATTGCTAGATTGGCCATAGGCATTTAGTGAGGTAAAGTCAAGAACTGTGTGATTGTTAGGGTTCACTTCCCTTTGCTTCTCCTCTTGGGATAAGATGGCAAAAGTTTGTGCCATACTTAGAAGTGTACTCATCATAAGGATATTGCCTCTGATGGATGTATACATCTCATTTAAACTCATTAAGAAGTGTATGAGTCTCTTGTCTTGTTCAGCTTTGTGCAACTTGGTCTTACCATCACAAGTGCACACATATGTACACTAAGAATTGACATCTATAATGCTCATTTCTTCCCATAACTTCTTCATTCTTATATAATAGCCAGTAATATCTAGAGGACCTTGGACAAGGTCATTGATATCTTTTTGTAGCTGATATAGTTTGCACCCATTGGTTTGATCATACATTTCTTCCAACTCTGCCCAAAGTTCATGAGCATTGTTTCCATACTGCAGACTGTCACGTAGATCAAGAGACAATGAATTTAGGATCCAAGAAGTTACCATGTCATCACATCTTTCCCATTGCAGAAAACCAGGATCAACAGGAGCAGGTCACACAAGTGTTCCATTAATGAATCATGTTTTGCTTTTCACTAATAGAGCTCTAAGTACAGCTCTTCTCCAAGATTTGTAACATGTACCATCAAAAACTGCAGGCAATAAAGAAGATCCAGCACTTTCTGATGGATGTAAGTAAAGAGGACTGGCAAAATCTATTCGAACTGATGTGGGATCAGCATGAAGATGAGAAGAACTCGAAATAGTTTCAGCTTGGAGATCAACCATATTGAGAATCGCGAAGAGATTCAGTTACTCGACAATCAACCAATAACAACACAAAACAATTACAGATCCAATCGTGACAATCGAATAAGAACAAGATGAATCCTCCATATAATAGAGATAAGAAAATCAAATGAAGATCAGAAATGGCAGAAACAATAGAGGAATTCACAATGCAATTCTTCAGAGAGAGAAAAAATGATCAATCACAAACCAGGAAAAAAAATCTCACGAATTGGATTAGATACGGAAGAGAACTTGCGAGCAATCTCTGTGCTCTAATACCATGATGAAATCAGCAACACAATCTGAGAAACTCCATTGATGAAAGCTAAGCTCACATGGAGGAAGCTGAAACTAGAGAGAAGAATAGCATGAAGCTATGTAATTTTGATTGAATGAATCAGTCTTTACAAAGTGTTACATATATACAAACTGTAATTGGAACAATCTAGAAGGAACAGTCTAACTAACTTGATTCCCTATTTTGTAACACATCTAACTAATTTCCAACTAATCATAACAAACTAAAATACTTTAATTGCATAATCTCAACATATATAACTATATAAGGTTGTGAATATATCAATATTTCTAGTTGCAACAATAAGTTCAACTCAACATAGTACTTTCAGCTCGATCAATAAATATGTATACATGAAAATCTATCTCGTGTATATGTACAGATTAAACAAGATATTTCTAAAGCCAAGGACTAGATTTGTGTCTGCTTATTAGCAGTCCACACATCCAATGTGCTGAATAAATTAACAGACTTAGTTCCCTATAAAAATCGATACAACGTCTTCAGCTGAGAGAGGTAAGTGAAATTGAGACTCTGAGATGCTTTCAAGAGGAGTGAGTATCTTCTTTCTCTGTGTGGTTTTCGTAACTAGAAACATGAAATAGGAAAATTTACATGTATCTTTAATTTCACGAGAATATCTCGTATATATTCACATTTAATTGCTAGCTTTGGCAGAAAGAGGCAGCAATTTTGCGGCAACAGTTAGAGGAACTGCAACACATTACTCATAGGCAGGGGCGTAGCCACGTAGGCTCCAAGGGTGTCCAATTGGACACCCTTCGTCGAAAAATTATACTATATATACACGTAAAATTTTGACTTTATATTGGTATATATAGAATTTGGACCCCCTGAAATAACAAAGTGATGTGCAGTGGAGTTGGCAATAGCCTATGCAATCCTACTTTTTGTCCCGGTTCGATTCCCTGCAGGGTTGTTTTCTTTTTCTGTAATTATTTTGACTTCTTGAATTCAATTAAGTAAATAAACATGGGTAATTTTAACATAAAAGTTCAATAGATTGGTGGTTAATAGTATCATGAAGGTCTCCAAGACCCAAGTTCGAATCTCTCCTCTACTAACTATTTATTTTCAATTAAAATTAAATTATTTTAATTTAATAAGATTTCCTTGAATTTAATACTTTTTCTTGTGGATTTTTTTCAATTAAAATTGAATTATTTCCTTAAATTTTAATACCTTTTCCTTATGGAATAAGATTTCCTTAAATTTTAATACTTTTCC